TTGCTGAGCCATAAGAAGACAGCTCAAATGGAGGGATAAATAAGAAATGGAGGTGTTTAGGCAGTCATTCTTCGATTATATAATCTCAGGAAAGAAAGGTAAAAAGGTTTAATTACCTTGCATCTGAAGCAAAAAAGAACTCCACTGCTTTATTGCCCACAGCATGGAGGCAGGTGGAGCTGTCCAGTCTCTTCACCCTTGTCTTACAGATATTCTTCACATTCTCAATATTGCCTAGCAAATGAGGGAATGGATTGCAAATCCCATCAGACTATTTTGTTTGCATAATGTGCAGCAAAGAACCAATTTACTCTTTGAATATGTGTGGGAGAAATTTGCAATTTTTAGCTTTGGCTGCGTCAGCCAAATCATGTAAAAGATCCCCAAATAGCACAGTACTGTTGCAAGAGCATTTAAACAGCTACAGTATGAGAATAATGCAAACAAAAACAAACCAAGAAATACTCAAATCAGGGCACAGTTGCCATTATACAATGCAGCTGCACACTGTTCTACTTTTATGTATGAAAACATCCATAATAAAAAACTTAAAAAAAAAAAAAAAGATGGAGCCAAGTCTCAGTTGCGTGAAAACCTTTTAGACCTGGAGCCACGTAATGGTTGGGCCCAGTCAGAGGGAGGAATCCTAGCCTCAGAGAGGAGTTGACCACATAAAAGCAGCTGCTAAGTCCTGAGACAGTGGTCGATTTAAAAAAAAAAAAAAACTTAAAAAAAAAAAAAAAGATGGAGCCAAGTCTCAGTTGCGTGAAAATCTTTTAGACCTGGAGCCACGTAATGGTTGGGCCCAGTCAGAGGGAGGAATCCTAGCCTCAGAGAGGAGTTGACCACATAAAAGCAGCTGCTAGGTCCTGAGACAGTGGTCCTGGAGCCAAGTCTCAGTTGCGTGAAAATCTTTTAGACCTGGAGCCACGTAATGGTTGGGCCCAGTCAGAGGGAGGAATCCTAGCCTCAGAGAGGAGTTGACCACATAAAAGCAGCTGCTAAGTCCTGAGACAGTGGTCGGTAGCTGTGCCGTCAAGTCCTTCTTGAGAAACTTACACGTCCTATATAAGATGGGGATCTGTTCAGTGGAGAGTTTGTACTTGCTCCGCACCCCGATGAGCAGTGGACTGCCTCTCCTGCAGGGAGAAGAAGGCATCAAGTTACCCACTGCCTCCGCACCCCAGGGCTGGGTGACCTCCTAGCATCTGAGGTGGGATCCCCAAATCTAGCCCTTTTCCTGCCACGGAATGGATGCCTTGACTACGGGAAGATGTCCTCAAGGTGGGGAGCAACAAACAACAGGCGAGCACACAAATCCTAGCTCACTAACATGGCATCACCTGCCTGCACAATGAACCTGGTAACCTGTCTTGCCCCCATCTTCACAGGAGCTGGGACTCCTCCAGTTCAGTAAATCCCCACGTGTGACTAACCCTCGTGGTCAGATCGCAGAGGCTGAGCAGAGGAAGCACTGACGGCATGTTGACCCTCCACTGCCTCCATTCGCCATGTGTCTTTAAAGTGGGGGCACTCGGCACCCAGGATCTGCTCAAAGACTCCCTTTTTTTCCTCTCTTTCATCTAGTCCAGTTATTCTCCAGCTTTAGTAACACTAAACAAACTGACTTTCGTGTATTCTCTGCTTTGTGAGCCGCTTAATGTGCCTTCAGGGGTGGTTTTGTTTCCACCTAAGTGTCACCTCATGGATGAAGCTTAGACTCTTTGATCTGTACAAGGTGGACTTCAAAGTAAAGAGGACAGTGGCCTTCACAAGGCAGAGTCTTGGGGAATTCCTGCAGGTGGCCAGGAGGAGGGACTCTCACTCCGCTCTTCTCTCCCAGCGTCCGTTTCAGGCACCAGCTCTCTGAGCATCTCAGAGGAAATCTTCAGTAAAGCTCTTCACTGATGTTTCTTTCTGGCTCACAACTTCTGGTGGTGAATGTGTTTGAGGTATTATTCCATGATTTTAATGACATCTTCCCTCCCAAATCTAATTCTTTGTTTATTCTTATAAATTACATCACACAAATAAAATTTTCAGTGCATAGTGGTAAGCAGTTCACTTTGGTAACTCGGACACTCCATACCTGTGATTCTTAGTCCGAAGCCAGGCAGGTAAAATTCCAATAGTTACCAAAAGATGTGTGCCTGCCCCCACCTCCCACCCCCCAACCAGCTATACCCACACATGTTAACTTACTAATGAGAAGAAAACACTGAGTAAGTTGTAATAAGACAATGCAAGAGAGCTGTCTCAAACACATTAAGTCGATAAAATGGGGTAACATTTCACCTCAATCAATTTTTTGCTAACTTAGATCAATGAACTAATGAAGTACTTGTTAATCAGCCTAAATCAAGTCCACAAATATTCATCTGGTCTGTTAACCTGACTCAGTACAGTCCCTAAATGTTTGTTCAACAATGACAGACCGGTAGTGTTGACCTGTTTGGACCCCAATTCTGACTTCTCAAAGTGGGGGACAAGTTTGTGGCTTTGAAGAAGGCACAGTGAGCACCTTGAATATTTTGGACAATCTTTTATTTTGTCTAAAGCAAATCAGAGACATAGTTCTGGGTCCAGTGGGGAACTACCTTAAATAGTCTTTATAATGATGACAGTGAGAAAGTATGCAGTTGTCTAGTTTTCTTGGCAAATGGCTCCCCCAGATTTTATTGTGTAGATTGAGCTCTGTGGTTTCTCTAGACTTTGAAACATGTAGTTCTCCCAAGATATCCAAAGATTGTCCTGGAGGTTACAGAGCCATCAGTTACAGGCAATTAAAAAAAAATTAAAGCTTTATTGCTTTCTTCTGCATTCATTTTAAGTGGTAATAATATGATAATATCAGGTTTAAAAAGGGGCTTCTAAATTTGACAGGAACCAACTGGTATGTTATATTTAATTCTATGATTTGAAGGGATGAATTCCAAATGGTTCATTAGTTCCAGTCTTGGAAATAATAAAATCATGATAAATTCATATCATTCTCTGCCTCGTGGGGAACAGTCTGTGAGGAACAGTCTTACCCTTTCAGTCTCCCAGGGCCACATGTGCATTCTTGATGACTCCCCAATGGCTTCAGAATGGAGTCTGCAGCCTGCAGAGCACTGAGGCCCTTTAGAGCTGGACCTCTGTCCACACCTCTGCTCCCCACCAGCCTGTGAGGTTCATGGGGCAGTGTCTGCACTACCTTGTTCACTGCTGTCCCCCATGGCTGGGACACAGCAGGTGTCAGGAAGTGCACACTGAGAATGGAAGAGCCTCAAGTCCCACCAGTGCCCTTCTACCTTGCTGCCACCCTGGCCAAGCAGGGATGCTGGAAGTGCCACATTCTCTCTGGGCCCTTTGCCTTTGCTCACGATGGTTCCTCTGTCTGGAACACTTTTCCCACTGCCCACTTTCCCCAAGCTGACACCTGCTCCCCCTTATGCCCCTGGTGCAGTGGCCTTCCCAGCCCCCATCACAGAGCATCACCATCCTCTGCCCTTCTCTGTCCTCCTGCACACCTGTCCAGTCCTTAAGGGCAGGGATCAGGTTGGGTGTCGTTAGGTCCCAGGACCCAGTACACAATAAGTGCTCAACAAATATAAACTGATGGGTAAATGGATGGATGGATGGATGAATATAAGATCACAGGATGGCACGTTATCCTCTTCAGTGAATCTACACAGCACCAGGGGCCATGGACATGTGGACTGAACCAGGACCACAGATGGACATGTGGACTGAACCAGGACCACAGATCGACATGTGGACTGAACCAGGACCTCTGGGCTGATTCCTGGGACATTGCTTCTGCGAAGCTTCAGTGAATCTACACAGCACCAGGGGCCATGGACATGTGGACTGAACCAGGACCACAGATCGACATGTGGACTGAACCAGGACCACAGATCGACATGTGGACTGAACCAGGACCTCTGGGCTGATTCCTGGGACATTGCTTCTGCGAAAGTGAAGAAGTTTGAGCTCTGAGCCTTCAAGGCCTCTTCTGTACTGGATCAAAATCAATGTTCACTTGGACACCTAGTTTTGTGTTCATAAGTTTGCATGCTTTTTCTTAAAGGAGGTCCCGCAAATTGTGTAGGCTTCAAGCCCCACAAAACCTGGATCTGCCCTTTCTATACAGTTTAATTTTGAATTTGAATTTGTTGTCAACCTCTGAAAATCTGGAGATTTCAAATAGAAATCTAACTTTCTGATTTCTCTTTTTAAAAATCAGAAGCTGTAGTACCACTGTCATACAGACGGTGCAGTACAGTCTCTGGGGCTAAGCCACAGTTGTCCCTCAGACACAGCAAGCAACTTCTAGTTTGTCAGAGGCCCTACTCCTGCCTCGTGCCCCAAGATAAATGATTTTATTTTATTTATTTGTTTGTTATTGGAAAATCAATGTGTTTTGTTTCACCTTGTGGCAACGGCTTCTCCCGGGTAGTGGATGCTCTTGAACACCAACGCGAATGCACCTTCCTGAAAACATGAAAAAAGAGTGATGAACGCTCGTTCTGGCTAGCCAAGTGCTGCAGCCTGGCCCAAGGCCCCAGCAGGGTCTCCCTGGGCCCCTCTTCATGGCAGGAAGTCCTGGGGTCACTCAGGGAGCCCAAGACAGGAACAGCTCATGTAGGGTGACATCAGGAGGGAAAGTGAAACAGACAATACCACGCTGAAGTACCAAAGACCAGAATTGAGAATTTCACCATCAGCAACATAAAGCACACCTGCCCAGGCCCAGAAGGAACCCGTCAGGGATGCCCAGCTCTGTGATGAGTTAGGTAGACTGGTGCAATTAGGAAACCAGAGCCACAGGAAACTAGAGCCAAGGCCAGGGTGCCCTGCACTGGGTCTCAGGGATGCCTTCTCAGGGAGCACCTGTGAGGGCTAAAGGGGCTGCACTTAGCTCAGCCCACAGTAGAGCCTGGGTTCAGATCTTGGCTCCATCCCTTAACAGGGCAATCACTTTAGACTTCTTTGTGCCTCATTTTCCTCATCTGTGATGGAGATAAGAATAGTCCCACCTCGTATGGCTTCTGTGATGACTATAAGCTAATGTGCTGACGTGCTTAGAACAATGCCCGGCATACAGCGAATCCAAGGGAAGCATGAGTTGTTCTTGCTATTATTACTGTTTCTGTGGCTATGACTGTCATACCTCTGCGCCTTAGCTTGTTGGTTTGTGCAAAGCCAGAACTAGAATCGAGTTCTCCTAACTCAATACTCGAAATGCTCTTTCTACTTGAATTCTTGCTATATTCTCCTCGACATTCTGACCATCTTGTACTAATTTACCTCAACCCTAGTAGAACTCAGTTATATACAACTGGCTGTAAATCTGAATTTCCATGTGAAATCCCCCATTTTGGTACCTTGGGCAGCCCAAGGCCCTGTGTGGCCATATGTTGTGCCCACTTTTGCCAACGCACCTGCACAGCTGGAGGGACCCAGCGTCAGTGTCCCCAGGCCTCAAAAAGGGCCTTTCAAACTGCCCAAAAGAAGGAGCTTCAGACAGACCCTGCTGCTTTTGTCAACAGTGAAGTACGACTGAATAGAAAAACACTTTATGTTCTCCGCCAAAAAGAGCCCAGTATAGCTTCAGGTAAGAAAAGTCACAGAAGTTTAAAAGTGCCATTACTGGGGTGATATTTTCAAAACTTAAAATTACAAATGGAAAAGAAGAAATACAAAATTGGTTTACTGTACATTATACAGTAGTGGTTTGCTGTACACAAAGTATGGGATAGGCTCTTATTTATAAATATGTCCTCTAAATTACAGATTCCCCAAAATGGGAGTCATAGGATAAATGGTTTCAACAGTAGATTTGCTTTTTAAAAAAGACTCTGGGGCCAGCCCAGTGGCGCACTGCTACAGTGCGCCGCTTGGGAGCGCGGTGGCGCTCCCACCGAGGGTTCGGATCCCACATACAGACCGGCCGCTCACTGGCTGAGCGAGGTGCG